CAGAGATAAACCCCTAATTTATATCAAACCATCTCAAAAAAAAATTAAAAATCCTTCATTTAACTGTTTCCAATGATATCAAAAAAAAAAAAAAATAAAGAGGAAAAAAAAAAACCCCCTCCCAGGTCCCAGCCAGCTTGGAGCTACCAGATTCTGGGGTTGATATTTCTGAGTCCCAGGAAATGCTAAACTGTAAAATTTTACCTGCCTCAGTTTCTTCAAACCACAGAATTATTTTTCAAATATATTTCCATGTTCCTTTTGGGTATGGTGGATAGGGGTGAGTTTACTTCAGATTACTTGTTATTGCTTGCTAATGTTATAAATGTTTAAAGGTTTCTTTATATGCCTCTATGGAAAAGCAAGTTTTTGCCATGTCCTTTTGACAGCATACTTTACTTGGGTGACTCTTCTTAACCTTCAGAGTATAAATTTCATGAGACTTTAGTCTGCTTCATTTTTACTTCCCTCTCTCCTAGGTTCATACCGCCAACTAGAGTGGTAAACACTCCATCGGTTTAAAAAGAACACACATAGCAAGTCTGCGCCCAAATGAAACTGTTCAGATGACTCTCATTTCTACATATATACATTTAATCTAAATCAAAGGTTAAAAAATGACAAGTAACTGATCATTTAAAATGAAGACACGAGTTTCTGCTGTGCTTTAGAGATGATCCTGAAATAATATTTTTTTTACATCATCTTTATAGACATGCATGGTGATTTAAACATTGAGAAGATACCCCAATGACCAACAAATACATGAAATGTGTTTAAATCCATAGGCCTTATTAACCAACCAGGGTGTTGCCAGGCACCTGCTAGGATGTTTGAAACTGAAAAGACTAGCCAATCCCACCATGGAAGATGACAAGAGGAAAAGAGCATACAGCACTTGACACCAGTTCAAAACCAGGTAAAACAAACCTGTACTAGCACACAGGAAGGCAACAGTTGCCTTTTGGGGAAAGGTAAGGCTAGGAGAAGGACTTGCGGGTAGTGCACACAGGGGCTCAGGCCCATTTCTTGACCTGTTTGGCAGTTTCATAGGTATGCTCAGCTAGTGATATAACTCCTCCAACTAAATATTTAAAATTTTCGTTGTTACAGTAAAAACAATCGTTGAGGTTAAAATGGTGAATTTAGAAACATGGTGAAGATAAACAAGAAGGCTCCACATAAAGCGCCTCCTCCCCCAACAGGTGCACAGTAGTGTAATTACCCTTTTACTAGTGGGCAGGTCACACTTATCATTCCTTAAATACTTTACATGATACCATCCAATAAACTTCCCTTCAAAAGAGATATGCAGACTTCAATTCTTATAACTAAGTAATCTTATTTAGTGAGCACTTTATAAAAGAGAGGAAAGCCCTTCAGCTGCCAGAAGGAAATGTGCTGCAGGAAGGCAAAGTCTCCTGTGAGGAGAGAGCATTCCTTGTGGGGCTCAGCAGCCAGGCTGCCTGTGCTTAACCCTGTCTTTACTACTTATTGCTGTGGAAACTTGGACATTTTATTCAACTAGTTGAAGGGCTTGGAAGAGGCACTCTCAAGCTGGCCACAAACCAGGAAGCACAGTCCAGGCAAGCCAGGTGTTTCACCAAGGCCACTCTGCTACTCTGGATTTACAGAAGAAGGCCCCTGGAGGCTAACAGACTCGGTTAGTGCGGGCCAGCAGAGGGGTATTGATGAAACTGTGCCAGCTAGGCTTTGCTTTAATCATTTTCACACAGGCCAGATGTTGCATCTGGAATTCTAAACTCAAGAATTAGAAATATAAGGTAAAGCTTGTATTTATAGGAATTTACAAAATCAAAACCCAAGGACAGCATTCTACATAGTACTTTTCTTTGAAATGTGTCCATATTCTTAACAGAGTGCAACAAAACTCCACTTTCTTTCACATCTACTCCTGGGTTTAAGAATTCTGCTCAGAGTTCTGCAAGACAAAATAAAGATCAGATGATGCCTGTGCTCCCAGCCTTTCTCTCCACTTGGCCCTGATAGAAAACACAAGAATAATAAAATGCTGAATGATAAATTTCATGGGGAGTCAGTTGAAAAAGTGAGTCATCTTGAGTACTCCTGGTTTAGACAGTTTAGTAGAGGAATTCTCTAATATATATATATATATATATATATGTAAATTTGTCATGCAAATGTTTATGTTGAAACATGAAAACAAGTATTTGGGCTTCCTTGACAAGCAAAAGAAATGTAAAGTTCAGAGCTATGGCTAGCACTGTGGATAGAAATATGGGAATTTGGCATACTTTTCTTGAATGATGCTGTATTTATTACTTTACCAATACAATTATGGTGTTACAACAAACACATAGGTGTTAAGACTGTGGGTTTGGTTTAGTGCTAATAAGCCATTTGTAGTTCTGGGTTTTTGTGAATGCAACTGATTAATTCTTATATCTAACAAGACAATACTTAGAAATAATTAGCTTTGAGCTCTGGGAAGTACTACATGTAGGCAGGTGGACAGGGCTCTATTAGACATAATTACTGCCAGAACTACAGGCTGTTTCTTTGCAAAATCAAATCAACTCTTCTGTACATTTTTTATTTTTATATATTTATTTATTTATTTTGCTATGCTGTGCTGTGTTTTATTGTGTTTTGTTTGTTTCACTGTTCTCTGACTTGTATGAACCAAATCCAGGACTGAAATCACGAATTACATTTCCATGCTTTTTAACCCGCTTAGACATTTCAGGATTTGGAAAATATTCTGGGAGATGAGCTATGCATTCATTTTCCTAATATAGTGTGAGAAAAATAAAATAACTCCCACATCCCTTTATCCATCCCAGGATGACAGCCAATCTCAAAAAAGTTGAAACACTCCAAGCACTTAAAAATATTCCATAAGGTGAAGTGAAATTTTTTGAAGAGACTATTTAAACAAAAACAACAAAAATGGCTCTGCAAATCACTTTTTAAATCCCTTACACCCTGTACTTTCATGAAGTTAAAATTCAAGAACAGCTACTAAGAAAAGATGTTTCAACCAGGCAGTGGTGGCACATGCCTTTAATCCCAGGATCTCTGTGAGTTAGAGGCCAGCTTGGTGTACAAAGTGAGTTCCAGGACAGCTAGGACTGTTACACAGAGAAATCTTGTCTCAGGAAAAAGGAAAAAAAAAAAAGTTTCAAAGAAATGTCTAGGTAAATTTAACCCTCAGTGGCTCTCTATCATTAACATAAGTAAATTTCACACATGCTAATAATCGGTGTCTTATTATAACCACTGCACTCTGGTACCTTGTGGTTCAGATAGCCAGGTACTGTGTGTCATGTAAGTGGCACCTGCAGAATGTACTTCATGTGGGGATCTCTAGGAGGAAAAAGATTCTTCCTGTAAAAAGAAGTGTAAAGGCATGTGCAAAAAAAACACAGGATGCAAGAGCCACTGGAGACCAACAAGACCTAAACAACACAGGCTGTATAAAAAAGAGTTTGTCCCAAATACCTTTGATGGATGAATGGCTTAGATCTCAATGCTTTGCTATTCCTGGACAACACTGGAGAGCTGAATATATCTTACAGCTACTGATATCTTAACATCTGTTTTATAATCAAAAGAGTTAGCAAATTGTAAGGTAAATCATACTTAGCAAACAGTAAGGCACAAGAAACACTGACAAGCATACTGGACACACAGAACCAAACTGCACATGAATGCAAACAGGCTTCTGCCAGTACACTTCTTAATGAGAAGCATCCGCACAAAGCAAGCTGTGATGCAGGTCTTGGGATGGGGTGTCAACTCTGGTTTGGGCTTCATTCATGATTTTTCTGGGCGATGGTCCAAACTTCTTATGTTTTCAAATAATTTAATAACCAATAAAATTTATTAAATACTCTAACAATATTGAGAGAACAATACTTAAATGAAGTTTAATACAAATGATTATGGTATACTGTTAGGAACTAGCAGTCAGCTGACCCCCGCCCCAACGATGGGCGGGACGCTCATGGCTGTGTCATCGCAATGTCAGCTTTACCTGGCTGCCAGAGGACTCAGTTACACATGAGCAAGCCTCTTTTAAAGCAAGCGCGCCAAGTGCTTCTCTCTCTCTCTCTGCCTCTCTCTGGTTTCTCTCTCTGTTTCCTCTCTCTGCCTCTCTTTGCTCTCTCTCTGCTCTCTCTCTCTGCCTCTCTCTGCTCTCTGCTTTCGGTTGGCCACCAGCTACCCCCTCTTTCTCTCCCATCTCAATAAACTCCACGTGGGCGCTGAGTCTCATGTTTGTGTTTCTTAGGCATTAGCTGCAGCAAAAGAACAACATATACAGTTAGCCCCAAGTCCAGTTAAGAGAATTAAGTGAAAACTGTGAAAAATACACATTTTAAAAAACAGAAACATTCTATGTAAGTGAGCCTAAGCCTGTTATCCCTTGACAACAAGGAAAGGACAATTACAGCAAAGCAAGGAACTGACCAAGAACTCATTAAAGGCCTGCAATAACCTTAGCTGGGCACAGTGGCTGCATTCCAGTCCCCTAAAGTCAAGTTAAAAAGAAAAAGATTTACACAAATCAACAACAGAATTTAGAAAACTGCATTCAATAATTTACTACTTAATCCGTATGTTACCAACTGTCTTAAAAAAAAGGATGAAGACTGAATATGTAGAAAAAGCAAGACTATTATTTCTTCCATATATTATACATTGTGATGTGTGATGCTATAATTCTATAAATTCTGAATATTCCTTACAAAAGGAATGTGTGGATGAGTCCTAAGTCATGTAAACAAATGACTAATGGTTTGGTATCCATTACCCCAATACATGCCAATCAATGTCACATCATTGCTTGACACACTGTCTTTTATGTTCTGTTCCAGGTCCCATGACTTTGTAGGTATTTGTACCTGAGGCTGCAAAATACATATTGTCTGCTTCATTCTTATCATCAAGTGCCAAGCTGCATCATCTGGAGGCAAGAAGACAAACACTATGGCATATTTCTACTAAAGAAGCATTACCTTGGGATCGGATGTGAGCAGTTTGAATGCTTGGTAGACTTGGGATTCCTTTACACCACCTCCAAGGTCCAAGAAGTTAGCTGGCTTCCCTCCATTCAGGAAAATAATGTCACAAGTAGCCATGGCTAATCCAGCACCATTCACTGAAACGCAAATAGCATATGACATAGGACAGACCAATCAGCTTGGAAAAAGGTGTGTGAACATCCAAAGCCAAATGAGAGCCCTATCATTTCCAGGCCAATCTGTGCCTTGGTTGGAATTCCATTCAGTTCATAAACTCATATCCATTTATAATGAACAATCAGAATTAGTATATCCAAAGAATAAGCAAGAAAATAGGAATGATGAGGATTCACCAGTAATTCAAATCAAAAGAAACAGTTAAGGGGATGAACCAATTGGCTGTGGGTTCTGGAAAGGCTCCATGTAGGAGAATGGGCAGAAAGAATAAAAGCTGTGAGGAGTGTCTAGCTGTTCAAATGGATTGAGCCAAGAGTGGCACTTATCTCGTCCCTACTCTGAATGTGTACCCTTTTGTGAATAACCCAACTTCTCAGGGTTCTGCTCTTTCTTCACCTACTACAGGCATCATCTTTATATGATCTTACTGACAGTAACTCAAAGGAGAAATAACTGAGCCCAAACCAGCATCCCTTGATGCTCCTTCTGTAAATCAGTGTAAGAAGCAGGGGCATGGTAACATAACCCTTAGAATCCTAGCTCTCAGAGATAAAGCAGGGTGAACCTGAACTCAAGCCAGCCCAAGCTACACAGTAAGTAAGTACCAGGACAGCCTGGGCACAGGTACAACCCAGTCTCAAGAAGCAAAAGCAAGGGGCTGCAGAGGTGGTTCAGTGATTAATTAAAACCTGAATTTGGTTCCCAGCACCTGGGCTCCCAACCACCTCTATAACTGAAGGTCCAAGGGATTGAATACCCTCTTCTGAACTCTAGGGAGCATTAGCGTGCACGTGCACACACACACACACACACACACACACACACACACACACACACACAAATAATTTTGAAAATCAAAATCAAAACAACCCAAGATCAAGATTACTAACCCAGTATTAAAACTACAATTAAAGTAAGACAATTCATGGGCCTTTCTTAAGAACTGAAGTAGCATTTTAGCACTAAATTCCTGCTTTGCAGGAATTGATCAATCACACTTTCTTTTCTTCTCATGTTTAATTAGAGAATTACTGTCCTCAAGTAACAAGGACTGGGGGTATTGCAACTCAGCAAAGCATTCAAAGTAAAACACCATTACTTTTTCTGACAATTAAATGGTCCCAGAAAAGCCTGTGAACTATGCTTACCTTAATCAACGTGGGGGACACCAAAATAAAAATAGGGAGTGGGGACCTGTATCCTGGGGTGGGTTAATGTGTACCAAGAAGCTCTGCAAATAAAGCATGTCTTATCCATCATAAAAAGAGTGTGTGTGTCATAAAAGATCCTCAAGAAGTGTGAAGTGGAATCAGAGTTTGTGAGACACATTCATACAGAAATATCTGTATTTAATAGTTCAAAACACACCCCAGACTTCCCCCTTTCCAAATGTCTACAGATGTTGCAAGTATGTTTGCTTATTGCGGCCAGGAGGGTGTGACTGATCAGAACCATTCAGACAGCACTCCCACCCAAAGCAGAAGCCTTAGGTATCAATTGTAAATGGATGCCATTTTCCATTGTATTGAACAGCGAGCTGCTGAGTTTCTTCACTTCTTAATATAAAGATGCTGTTGTTTTAATGAGCAACAAATCTTTTTTATTTTAATTCCATTAAGATGAAGACCTCAGTTTCCAGTGAAATGAATTGTTTCTAAAGGAAACATAGTCGTGTGAAATTAAGCTGGGAGCAAATAAATCACAGCACTAGAAGCCGTGGACAATAACTGAAATTTTATTGCCTCTACAGATCCATTCTTATCTCAGCTACATAAGCCATCTTCATTAAATTAGATGACTATGATAGAGCCCGTTGTTTGATCAGTAAACTGCCATAGTGAATTAAGTATTTTGGAAACTGGTTACCATTCAATCTGAAATGTTGGTGAAATGGTTAGAATGCATGCTCTCCACCCCTTCCTCTACACCCTAGCTAACTTTAACTGTCAACCTGACACAGCCTATAGTCACCTGAGAAGCGAGTCCAAACTGAGGGAGTGTCCAGATCAGACTGGCTATTGGGCAAATGTGTATGGGGTTACCGTGATTGATGAGTTACAAAAGTTCACTATGGGTGGCACCATTCCCTGAGCAAGTGGACCTACGCTGTATAAGAAGTAATAAACTAGCAACTGAGACTGCAAGCCTGGTTTCTGCTTCAAGTTCCTGCTTGAGTTCATGCCCTATTTTCCCTCAATAATGGACTGTGGCCTGTATGCTAAATAAACTCTGACTTCTCCTAAGTTTCTTTTAGTCAGAATGTTCTATCACAAACATAGAAAAAAAAAAAAAATGAGAATACTCTGAAAAAAAAAAAAAAATTGGCTCAGAGTCCAGCTTCTCCACAGTTCCTAGCATATGAAGTTGTAAGTTTTAGTAAATGAAGTTGAGATGCTTTAAGTGCATGGTTCTTTTAATATGTACATGCACATGGGCATGTGTGTGTGCGTGCATGCGCACATGTGCAGATGTATATGTAGGCCTGAGGTTGGTGTTGGGTGTGTTTCTTTACTGCTTCTGCACTTCATTTTCTAAGACAGATTTCACACTAAATCTAGAGATTATCAATTAGTTAGACTGGCAGGACAGCCTCAATTCAACTGTCTCTGTAGAATTGTGGATATCACCAAATACTATCATACCCAGCTTTTGTGTGTGTGCCATGGAGCCAAACACAGATCTTGATGTTTGCCCAGCAGTCAGGTACCAGTGGCCATCTCTCCAGCCTCTTGGCACTCTATTTTGGAATGCTGCCGCACACTATAGATGCCTGGAAACATCTGGACACTTTCCTTCCCTTTTTTCATTTCCACAAAGTTAGCTGTCTCTAGAGGTGGGGAACACTACCGAACCTTCCATCCTGGACAGCCCTCAAAGAACAAAAGTTTATCCAATCCAAAAGCTCAGCAGTGTCAGAGCTGAGAAACTGCTTTAAATGAGTGACCATCAATCAAAATGGATCTTGAGAGGAAATGCTGCTTCCAAGTGACACTATAAGAGACACCTATTTTAACAGCTATTAGGAAATGGTATTTCAGAAATCCTATAAAATTCCAGACTTGGGGCTGGTACTTACCGAAGCAGGCTATGTTCCCATCGAGTCCGATGTACTTGAGATCATATCTGGCAGCCTCATTTTCAATGGGCTCATTCTCTGATTTGTCATCCATAGCAAATATGTCCTTTTGTCGGAATTCAGCGTTGTCATCAAAGTTTATCTTGGCATCAAAACAGACAACTACATAAAGAGAAGAGGAGGCTACACCTGAGAATCTTGGGAGCCCATGACCTGAGTTCTTCAGGCCAGCAGTCACAGGAGAAAAGAAAGCAGGCCCTCCAGTTCACTCAACCATAGGCAGGGAAGCCACCTCTGCTTTCTTAATGTTTAAACCTGTAGGCCACAGAGACAAATAGGACAGGACCCCTGTTCTGAGGAATTGGCATTTTAGCAATGAGGACAATAAGTCACACATGTCAGTTTCTGCTCAATAATACTACAACAACAACGCTCACCAGCATCCACTTAAAGCTACAGGCTGGCACATTGCACCCTGGAATCATGGTTATAACTGTATTGCTTATAGTTAATAATATGGGGCAGGTGAGCATCGTCTTTCCCTTTTGTGCAGCAAAACCAAACAAACAAACCACAGTAATGACTCCAAATTTTTTTCTCCTCCATCCCCTGACATCCCATGTAAAGCATATTTTATCAGTACCCTCTTACTACTCTTTTAATATTTCTGGACTTAATGAAAGAGAATGCTGAGTCAGAATACATGCTTTATAATTTGACTCCAAAGTCTTCTACATCTCAATATTAATCAAATTGAATATATTTAAGGTATACAGCATGATATCTCGCATACACATGTATTTCAAAATGACAACTGCAAGAAACAAACTTACATATCTGTCCACCACAGATTTTTGTTTTTGTTTTCTTTTTCTTCAAACTTTTTGGAGTAAGAAATCTTGAAATCTGTTCTTTGAACCATTTCTAGTATACATTACTAACTCCATAACCTTGGTAAGATGGCTCGATTCATAGTGGGCCTTGGTTTCCTCACTTGTAAAGAAGTGTGAAAGCAATCCCAAGTGTACACACTTTCTTGACCTGGGAATATGTCTTTGGTTTGTGCAGAAATATCTTATGACTTGTCAGGTCTGTCAATGCCAAGCGGTCAGGCATCTCTGTCACTACAGTCTACATCCTCTGCTAGAGGTGGACATCCATACTGTACACAAACAGCTTGCAGAACTCACTCTATGAGCGCCTTTCATTACAAGGACTGCAAACAGGACATTTAGGTGACGGCTTTGTGAAAGGGGACAACATCTGCAGTACCTGGACTCCAGCATGCTTATATCCCTTGCGGCAGAAACTTTTTTCCTGTTCCACTGTGCCATCGCAACAGTCTCTGATTGTATCTGAGATATTAATAAGCAAGTATCTTTGGTCAAACATTTACAGATGCTATGCTGTTTCTTTGAACTTTGCTGAGAAGCACTTCACTTTTGAAATGCAAGCCATCATTTCCCAGGACTTAAAAAAAAAAAAGCAATGGCCATGGCCAGCTAAGTACACTTGCTTCCTAGAAAAAAACCACTGCTTTATGGTACCCTGAACTCACAGGCACCAGTGAGATTTCCTCCAGGTTCTTTTGCACATAACTCAAGTGTTTGGAGCACATCTGTGCAGAACTGGTAGATTTATGTTCAAGAAGACTTGGTAGAAAACGAAAGAGGACAAAAATTACATAAATGAGTACTGACTGACAAAAGAAATTCTTACATGGAAGATGACACCTGTTTAGGTCCCAGGTTTTGCCACAAACTTCCAACAACTGCCCACACGACGAATACATGGAGTGAAGGAGTAATTATTTTCCACAATGGTGTAGTTGCAATGAAGGAATCCTGCAATTACCAAAGGAACTGGCCAGTGCTCTGTGCTCCGTGCAAAGGCACTTTCTCAGCAGTTAATGACCGGTATAATAATCAATAGAAAAGCAACTTCATGCTTGGCTTTCCACTGGGTTTATAAATACATTCTAATTAATTTATTAGTAATTTTAGCTCCTCCATTACTCACTGGCAAGATTAGTTGTAAGTGACACCTTCAAAATGAATGGGCAAAGGCTATCAAATTGACTTTCTAAGTGAAGACTTGCAAATAAAAGAATTCTTGGTCAAGATCAATAAACCAGTAAATCAAAATAGTTCCAAGCTAAACTTTGCCCCTTAATACAAAAATACAGTTGCAAGCTGCTCCAGAGAAAGGATAATTAATGGAGATGTATGCAAAGTTCAGAAGGCAGTCCCAACCAAATGCCTGCAAAGTGAGATTTTCCAAAGATTTTGTGTTATGATGTGCATACCAAGTGCAAAAAGGAACTTGCTGTTTGATGACCAGCCTGGGAACTGGATAGGTAACTCAGTGCTTGAAAAGGAGAGCTGTGGAAACCACAGGGGAGCATCTACAGTGGCCTTTGGTCAGATGCTCCCTGTCTGGCAAAAGATCAATGTGTGCAGATCCAAGAGCTCTGGGAAACTAAAAATACTGCCCAACTGTGAAGTAAAGTAAGAATAGTTAGTCAAGAAGGCATAACTTAGGAGGCTGAGTTAGGGGGATTTTAAGTAAAGGCCAGCGTGACCTATCCATAATAGCCTCAGTGACTTTGTCTGTCTGTTGTCTGTCTGATATCCTTTGGTCGGTTCAGTTATTTCTACATGACTATGACAACATACCTGACACAAGTCACTTGAGAAAAGAAGGATGTGCTCTGCCTGGTGATCTCAGTGCATCCTAGTGGTAAGGTGTGGTTGACCAATTGGCTGTGCTGTGGGAGTATGTGGGCAATGCCTGTTTATACCTGAGCAGACCAGGAAGCAGAGAAAGTAGGCAAGAAAATGGGTATGGATATAACTTTCAAAAGCCCCAGTGAACTATTCTGTAAGTGAAAGACCCGCAGAGGGTGTGGACCCTCACGCCCCGACTCAGGAAAGGCGGCCACCCCAAATCACTCACGAGAAGCAATCTTGATGCAAAAGCATGAGGTCTTTTATATTCCAGTGCACTGGGGTCTATAGCCATACTCCACATGGGGTAGAGGACTGGAAACCCTGGGTACTTGGTTTAGACAGCTTTTATAGGGTTACAACAAAGCCGGCGTATCGTAAACCAATCATCTCATAGCATCCAGTGTGGACCAATTAATTTGAACTATCCAAGCATGCGCTTAGCCCAGGAAGTCTGCTTTTGCTAGGGCTTCTGGGTGGTGTGACAAGGCTCATTTCCTGTGTTCACTCACTCACAGGTGCTATCCTAAACAGCCCTGTTGTAAATAGTCAAAAATGTGACCTTTTACCTACTCACTGCAAGGGGGCAGAGTCTAGGGAGACTTAGGCTAAATTTTTCCATCCTTATATAAGCTATGTCACATGTCTCCAAAGTCCCCTGAGTCAGAACCTTTAAAACAGCTTTATAATGTAGGGGGTGACCCAGTGTAAAAAAAAAATAAAAAAATGAGTGTGGGGGGACAGGATTCAAATTGAAAAGGTAGCAGTAGTTTCCAAATTTAATTCTTGGCATAGAGATCCTAAAACCCTCGTAACTTTCTAAGCAATGGAGTTATTGCGTAGATATTTTATTCTAATACTTGTCCTTTGGCTCTGTTTTCTAATACAGAGCTCAGCACAGGGATTTCCTAGAAATAATTTTAAATTTCCATTGTATCTGACATGGATAGAAAGTATTTCCCAGAATGCAATGATACACCATGACAGATGACCAGAACTGAAGAGCAAGTTGTAAGGACACCGAAGTAAGCTGGCTGGTCAAAAGTGCCCAATATAGGCCTCTGAGTGATATCAAAGGAAAGAATCAGTCTTCTGAGACAGAACCCTTACTATGACTCTGACTCTCAAAATTAGCATGCAATGTCAGAACTGAACTGAGTGGTCTATGCTGAGAGCCTAGTAGTAGGAAGACTGTCACATATATTTCAAGGTCACAGATATAAAGCTGCACTGCCCAAGCAGCTAGTTCTGGTCACATGATTTCTCTTAAACCCAAAGCCCTTATCTATAAACAGGATCAGAGTTGTTGGTACTGTGTGGTGCTGGCAGAAGGAGAAGCTATGCATGATACCCAGCCTCACAGGGGAATATGATTACCAGCATGACATTCTGCATGCTTAGAGCTTCCCATTATTGTAGCTCAGTTTACAGAACTCTTCTCATCTCAATAAATTACTATAGTCTTTATAATTCTTTCACCAACCCTAGCTTTCTATTTGGAGTAGACATAAATGAATGTCTCCTGGAGTTTACATGTGTACAGGCTTCCTGCTGTACTTGATCAGCAATCATATGAATACAGAACTGTCTCAGAGCAAGAATTTTAATAACTAACACTTTTTAACAGCATAACTGTCATGGCAGGAAAGTTTTAACCAAAGGGTGAGAGGCTTTTGATGACCCTCAAATTAAATATATTTGACTAAATGGTGGCTAAAGATATGAAAAGTTGCACCAGGGGTAGGAAATTATGTCTCTCAAGCCAGCTCACCACCTGTTTGTGCATTTTTATACTGTCTAGGACAACAGCATTTGTGGTAACTGCAATACAGACCACAAGGTTCACAAACCCCCATATATTTACTGACACTTTCTAGCAATCCCTACTTAGATACACCTCTGTATCTTGCTTCAATAGACTAGTAACCACCCACATACATAATATCCTTATATAGTCAAAAAGGTACTTGTTTTAAGTATGTCCAACTATCCAGGAAGAATGTAAAAGAGAACAAACAAAAGCTACACAAAAAGGAGAGAGAAACCCTGCATAAAGGAGAGATTAACCCCTGCATACTGATGGACTCTTAGATGCTCATTCTCTGTTGACACTCTTCCAAATGTACTTGCAGAGCTGTCCTGCTACAGCTGGATTCATGTCTGTGTCAACAACGGGCCAATAAAATCAACGTGCCATCTTGCTTAAACCTTAGCTTTCCCCCTTAATTTGACAACAGATAACCATGATAAAATGTACTTTCAGAAATGGGGAGCTTAGTTAGCTCAGACATTAAGAATCTCAGTGTCACATAACTGAAACCTCAATTCTATAGAAAATTCATCTTGAACAAAAACCAATCTGTGTACAAAGTAGAAGAAAAAAAAATACCTATTAATATTTATAAAACAATTTCCACCATCAAAAACATAATGTTACATGGTTGATAGATTATACAAATGAATTTCCCTTCTGAACAAATATCAAAGAAAGCCAAGGTACTTAAATTCATAGGGTGTTTGTGCTGTTTTGTTTAGTGGTGTGAGATTTTGCAAGCTGCTAATTCATCCACCTTGATGGAGAACATGCCCAGCAGTGAGAGGTCTCTGACCTCTCTTTCAACAGAAGAATGTGCCACTGAATTAAACAAAAGGAAAAAATGCATTTCACAAGGAGACACACACACAAAAGGAACAGAAAAACAGCAGGAAGTAGGACTGTCATAATTAGTTTGGAAAATAATCTGTCTTGAAGCAATGTGCTATGTTTGATTTGTGATAAACAACCATAATGTGCTATTCAAATGTGCCTTGCCAAGTCAGCTTCAAAATGCTGATCTTTAAAAGGAGTCCCACTTTCCATTAAATATTGATGTTTCAAGAGTTGTATAGCTTTTAGAACTTTTCTCCAGTTGCTATGAAGAGAAAATAGATAGGAGGAGAGAGGGGGTGTGGGGTGAAGGTGGGGGTACAGAGCCAAAAAGGATTGTGAAAATAGAGCCTTGTATATAATGAGAAAGACAGAGGACACCCACTAACAGCTTGGGCACTTGTTAGCATGAAGCAACAGGGTGGTTATTTAAGGAAATCTGAAGAAAGGAATTTGATGTGCCAGTTAACTTTGGATTATCCAGCTTTAATTCTCAAGGAATCTGGGCCACACAGTCACTGTTCTAAGTGGTTCTCACTTCTTCAGTTCAGTGAATGGAGGCATCTCCACATAGAGCTAACTTGTAGACTGGGGGGGGGGGGGGGAATCACTCCCAGCACTGTAGGATGGCTAGCAACCTCCCTACATTTACCAAGCAGGTGTCAAAAGCACAACTGTCAAGTTGTGACAACTTTCTGACAAATATCTCCTGGGGCATAGATAAAGTACTCATCATTTGTTTAAATACCTGCAAAAAGTAATCTTTTTCTGATCCTAGATGGTGGAGGGGGAAATAAAACGTGATGCAGAATCCCAGAGTGGCTTTACAAAATGAAAGAATAATGGACAACAGACAGTTACATAAATCTGTAAGGGAAAAAAAAAAAAATGTCCTCATGTGGCTACAGATTTACTGTAATGATTTGGTACTACAATTAAATCAGGGAAGAGAGTAGTTAACGTCTCTTTACTACTCAAGTAACAATTTACTTTAGTTTCAATAAAGGCTAACTCATTCCTGTAGAGGTGTTTTGACTTTATTGTTCTGTTTTCAATGGGAAATGAATGGCCTTTCTCCTAAACACTGACCAATGAATGTCTGGCCTAGGCTGGACATGTGGCTAAACAAGGCTAATGAGAATCAGGTGTAGGGCTTTCTATGGTGCTAGAATGGTAAACACTGGACACCATCTTTACTCCCAGCACAAAGAGACTGGCTAAGTTAGAACAATTCAGAGAAAGCAGGGCCATTTGATTTCTTCAGCTGAATGAACAGATTTGGGCTCCACAGAAACTAAGAGAGAAGCCTCATTCTTTACAGAGCACAAGCCATACACAAGCTTGAACTCCCCTGTTAAGTGAGTAAAAGTAACCCACTTAGGAACTGGTAAATAAGAACTATACAAGGTTAATAGGTTTTTATATGTCACTAGCAACCATTATAATCCTAGCAAAGAGTCATCAAAGCACAATAAAACCCAGTGTCAAATTACCCTCTGAAGGAGATTGCTAAGCATATTGGAAGGAATTGTTCTTAGACTGTAATTCTTCCATGTCAAATGTTTCCCAAGGGTGACTCAGCAGCTTTGATGTTAATGATATGACCACTTTTCACTTAACAGGATGTTGTGGAAGAACATGAACAATACAGTAAATTTTTTTTAAAAAAATCAAGGAAGAAAGACACCTATAAACAAATGACTTAACTTAAGTCAAAATGTTTTTGTGATATACAGCTCTTAAGTCTCCAAATTATAAGAACAATAATTAAGTTTTCGTGTGAAATGCGCTGTTAGTGACCTAAATAGAAACAATGTAAGCAGTTAGATTCTACACATTATCAACATTGCTAAGATCTAAATGACTGCATTTATAGCTCCTGCATAGAGGCCTACTGTGAGGGACTGTGACAAAGATAAAGAAAGACCCAACTTGTACATTCGGTCATTAATCACCATTTCCTAATTGGGTTTAATTTGACTACTGCTCATTAGATTTATAAACCAACACTCTCATTTAATTGTGATTATAATTCAATAGCCAAACTTTTATGGTACAATGAACAAATTAATAGCTAAAGATAATTTTGGTCTTAAAAATATCATGTAAGTCTTCTGCTTTAATGAACTGTACATACAGAATGTGTTTTGTGATGATTCCTTAAAAATACTCATAATTTTCTCCTGTTCTTATTAATTAAAAAGCAAACACTGGCCTTCATAAAGTTTGTGAACACCTTCCAAGGAAAGTTCCTCACGTAGTCCCCTTCACAAGGGTGAATAAAATATTACAGCAAAATTGTCACCCTACCCCACAGGACATTTCCCTTCCTCGGGCTCTTCATTCTTTCAAGGTTGTTTATCTCTATGCACATGATCACACATGCTTGTAGAGGTCACAGACAACCTCAAGCTTCATTACTGAGGCACTATCCATTTACTGTTTGAGCCAGAGCCTCTCACTACCCTGGAACTTACCAAGTAGGTCAGGGATGCCTAGTCCCTGCCTCCCAAGTGGTGAATCACACAAATACCACCACATCCAAATTTTTCTTTACTGAGGTCTAGGAAAAAAAATAGATCTTCCTGCTTGCAAAGAAAGTACTTTCCTGAGGGATCCATGTCACTGGCCCCTTTCTTCAGGCTTTTCTTAAGACAAGGTTTTGCTTTGTAGCCCATGATGCTCCAGAGCTCAAGACTCTCCTGTAGCTGGGATTACTGACCTGCACAGCCAGGGTTGGCTCCATATATTATATTGAATAGCCTTTGTAGTAAATACCTTCATTTCTTGAGTATCAGCATTCAGTTCTGAGAATGCACCATGCATGTTACTTGTGTTTTCAAAATGTGGGACTATTTCTGGGGCATTCTAATAAGAGCAAAATGCTAGTTTACAACAGAACAACCAGAAAAACAAACAAACACAGGTAGTTTTCTCTAGCTAATCTGGCATGGCAGGACAACCATGCACACTGAACCAAGGGTTCCCATCCCATTTTGCAGAACTAGCTGTCCATGAAGAGTCATGCTAAATGTCTGATCCTCTTAAAGATGGAAATGATGAATTTCACTTTTGAAGGGCTACTTGTGAAAGGTTCTCACAGTGCCTGGAACATAGGTTCAAAACAGTTTCAACTCTTCCTCCTCTTCTTTATGTACAATACTAATGGCTTTATCGCAACAGCAACTAAAAAGTAATTTTGAGGAGCTGGAGGGATGGCTTAGTGATTAAGAACACTTGCAGCACTTGCAGCTAGGAGCTCAGGACATAGCATACACATGAGAAGGACCACAAATGCCTGTAACTGCAATTCCAGAGGAGCCAGTGGACACGTACTTCTAGCCTCTACAGGCACTTGTAGGCAAATGGTGTACATAATTCACACATACATATAAATCTTATAAAACAAGATTAAATAAACATGATTTGCACATATACAACTTAGTACAGCTTTAATCTTGTGGTTTTCATGAACTTGCCCATTAGTTGAACACTGGTTTTCCTGAAAAATTCTTGTACTGGCTAAGCAGAGGAAAGATCTTTCATGAATGTGGATATGGGCCTATTCTGTATTTCACTCTAGATGCATAACCAGCTCACCGGTCTATAGTATAGTTATCATTTTTACCTCTTTGATTAATAAAAGTTTTTCTTTTATATACCTGAAGCTTAGCCAGAGGAGTGTGCAGATCTGTAGCTAGAATATGATGGATGTAGAATCTGAATTTGTCCTGAGGTCTCTCTGGATTCCAAAGAGAGTCTTTTAAGTTTTCTGAACCTGACTACAAAACCTCTACTTAGGAAAAACACCTTTGTCCCCACAGTAGTATCTGCATTTACATATTCAGCTTCTTCCATGTATTCAATGACAAAGACCTGTTTAGTCAGTGTTCACAATGCATGGAAAAAGGCAAAGTCTGTGAGCTTATATTTTGGCTTGAGCTATTCTATCTGCCACCCTCTCCTCAGAACTCCTCCATGAAATTAAAAACTTTTGCTATGAATTCATCTCTAGTCAAGACACCCTGCAGTGGTGGTATTTGCTGAGGCATAAAACAGCAAACAGTGGTACAAGTTGTTGCTGGAAGAGAAACCCCCCCCCCAATACCACCTTTACCTAAAGCAAATAAGGCTAGTGTGTGCAGAATAGAAGCTTCTCCAAGATGGTGGAAGCTGTGCAGGGAGTTTACAAATTCAAGAGCATCAAACAGTTCAGAAAGAATCAGGTGCAGTTATTAAACCCAAATCCTTCTATCAGCAGGAAATTGAAAAACAGGGGCTCTGTGCTCGTCTGCATGAAAGAACTGAAGGGGGTTAAAGTCAGGTAGGCAGTAGCTCCCAGGAAGGCTTGGCATCTGCCTACAGCAACCCACATGCTACAATGCTGAGCACCGTCATGGGAGCATTTGAAATGAGCTCAAATTAAATTACTGAAATGAACTCAACACTGCTGCTGCTGCTACTGCAGATTTTTTTTTTTTTGCAAGTTAATTTACAGTTTACATGCATAATGAGAAAAGTCCATTTGTCTTTCTTCCTTTCTGATGTTGGTTACCTTGTCCTTCTGAAGTTTCACCAAAGGGGTTCACTTCCACCTGAGTCGCGTCAATCTTCAGGAAGAGATGATACAGCTTTTTAATCTGGTCGGCTGCCTAAGTGATCAAGTGAGAAGGAATTACACCCAAGCAAAGAAAGTTTATTTTGCACCCTTAACAGAATCTTCAAATTAGCAAATTATGTCTTTATTTTCAGTTAGGTTTTCTGAAGGGAAAAATTGAAAACCATGATGATTTTAATTTCCACTGCTATTCATTAGAAGAGATTGCTCAACTTTCCTCCAGACACTAAAAGAGACCATTATTAAGAAAACAAAATATTTTCTGCTCAGGCTAAAAGCACCATTAATCCTTTTGTGAATTATCATGTCCCTGTTAGTCATGTTAGACTGCAGTATAAGCTAAATCACTAACACAAACACCTCCATTTAAGTAAAAAGGTAAACAGGCTTTTGAGATTTTCTAATGACAAGGTTTTCCTTATTAGGCTGGAATAAAATGGTTATTATATTCATCAAGCAATTCCTGAGTGTCTGATGGAAACTGTGAGACAGAAAGATCAAAGTGTTAAACAGGCCAGTCATGGAACGGTCCAGCTCCCACTGGACACAGAGAACATGTGTACATAGCCCTGTGACGTTACCATGGCTGCACTTTACCCATTTGTTGTTCTCAGCTAATGTGCTCACTGCTCACATCAGGGAGGGGAAGCTTTGGGCAGCACACATGGGGTCATCATTCCTCCAGGAGACTCCACACTTTGGGCAAAAATAGGAAGCCCGTGTAACTGTGGTTAAATACAGGGTGACACTCATTCTTGGCTCTGTTTTACTTCCCATTGCTACTGTATGTTCACCATGACCGTCCTTGTGTACCATAAGAGCCATGTGGCCCTTTGTATAACAGAGCATCTGATACCTGTAGGGCAAGCTTCTGTGATGCTGGGCCAGCTAGCTTACAGTTCTGTCCTGTCATGGGGTTTACGTGATGGGGGGAACAGGGGATAAGGGGACCTTTCTACTCCTTCAGTCTTAACTCCACCAGTTCTTACAACACCTACGAATAAAATCTCTCTATATAAATTCATACTAGATAGATTCAATACTGAAAGCTGTCCCAGATTTGGCTAAAGCATTTCTACAGATATCAAAATATCTGAATCTTAACTATTTCAGGTCTGTGTGAAAATTTTCTAAATCCTGATTGAAATCTGATGTACATAAATAAATCCGATGTGTAAGGCTAAAAAGAATTTTTTTTCTTTTCAAGGCAGGGATTTAAGATGTTTCCCAGACTGACCTCCACCTTATCGTGCAAACTCAAACTCACGGCCTTTCTGCTTCACCTGCCCTAGGAAGTAGGGTTGCCAGCACTTGCTATTATACCAGACCAAGACACAATCTGTTTACTACTAAATATTGTATAAGTAGGTATATCAGAGTTTCTCATGATTCTACTTCCCCATGATAGCTTTCCAGATCCTTTGAGGCAGACACCAACAGCTTCTGTTTTGTCTGAGATACATTCTATGCACATGCTAAGATGCACACTTCCCATCTTTCCAAACAACAAATGCCTCTATCCTTATTAATAGAAACCTTCACTGCCAGGATAAATAGGACATCCTTTTAATTGTCAGATCATATTTTATTGTATAGCTATACTACCATTCATAACTTAAAAAATGACCATATGGCTTCTTTCTAATAGCCTCATTTAGTTGAAATGTCACCTTTCCTGTGTCTGTAATACACGTGACTAGGTATTTATAGGAAAAATTCCCACAGAGGAGCACAGTGAAAGGGAACATTTTATTTATTATTTATTGCATATGTATATGGTCAGGTGCTTGTTTGTTTGTGGCCATATGCAAATGTGTAATGAATAATATGTCGTATATGAACGGCATGTGGAGACATTGGATATTGTTCTTCTAAAGTATCCATTTTGGGGTTTTATGAGAGAGGATCTCTCACTGGCCTGGAGACTCACCAAGGTTGCCTAGGCTGGTGAGACCCACATATGCATGTGTCTCTACTTCCAGCATTGATATTACAAGGGTATGAAACAGGCCCAGCCTTCACCATCATGGTGTCTCAGGATTGCACTCAGTACCTTGTGCATGCTCAAACACTAAACCCTCCCCCACAACTCTGAAAGCATTTTGAAGTGCTCAGGAAGCGACCCTCAACAACCACAAGGCAGTCCAGAAAGACGTTGCACTCAGCATCTGCATCAGGCTCGGCATGGCACGGGAGAGCAAGTATTGTGTATGTAGTGTGATAAAAACTTCATGTTGTGAATGTGTCTGAGCATCATTCTAGCTCCTAAAATACATCTGCATTTCCTTTCCTATGGACTTTGTATATTTTCTTGTTGAGATTTAGCTTTTTTTAAAATCATTAACTTAAAGTGTTTTATGTGATTAAAATGTGCTCTTTATGCCATGTAAATTGCAAATACGTTTCTCCTTTAATATTCATCTTTCAACCAGGTTCCTGTTACTCCCACCACATGGGAATCTAAAGACAATCACATCACTCGCGACTCATGGCTTTTTGCCAGACTTTCAAAAGGCCAATCTCATTTTTGAAGTCATTTAAAAGAACTCTCACAATTTTTTTTTTCTAGTTTGTTCTATTGTTTCCTAGTTTCAATGCTGATACTTCTTAAAACCCACTAAACTATATTGCATTATAAAGCCAGTCAACCACAAATTATGGAATGTGGGGATCTGAGGGAGCCCCAAGTACATGGCAGAGCCACGTCAAGGACTGCAGTGCCTCAGACCCATGGGAGTTGGCAAACCCTTCCTTTGGTCCATGTGCTAATTTTGCCAGAGTATACAAAGAGCATCAGCACATCTTCCTGCAGCATTAACAATGTCCTCAGGGATGCATACAGCTAGAGAGTGTCTCTAATAATGGCCTCTTACAACAGCGGCTAGATCTAAAATCAACTGGTGAGTTTCTGGCTTGTTGCTGGTTTTTCTTGCTTAGTTGGTGTCACTATCAGAGGAGCCCACCCAATTCTGTTTTTCCATGTGTATCTGAGTGTCTAGGACCAAGTTGTGCAAGACATGGTAACTAAGTATATTTTGGGGGTTGGCCTTTGTTTTTGATGTTGGATCCTGTTATGTTGCTGGAATGGGTCTCATATGATCTGATGGGAGATGTCATTCTATGAATATGTTTCTCATGCTGGTTAATGAATAAAGCACTGTTGGCCAATAGGAAAGCAAGACAGGCGGGACTAGTCGACAAGGAGGAAAGAGGAAGTACTAAGTAGGAGTCAACATGGAGAGACTGGGGAGATCAGACACTGGCCCCACTCCCCAGTAAGATAAGACCATGTGGAAATACATAGATTAACAGAAATGGGTTAATACTTAAGACAGCGCTAGCCGATAAGAAACAAGTAACTGGCCAACAGAATTATATCAACTACAGAGTCTTGGGGTGTTAATTGGGGCTGGCACGACGGTGGGACAAGACTAGCGGTGGGAGGAAAAACTCCTTACAATGACTCAACATCAAACATATATATATGTTTGATGTTTTGATCTGTCCCTTACACAGTTGCAGTACACCAGTATGTGTGCATGTAAGAGGGCCCTATTTACCCAGTCCCTGTGCTTATCCTCTTCTGCAGCCACTGCCTAGTTAACACCTAATAAATGATTTAATGAGTAATATAGTATACTAGAAATAACTTTAGTTACATAAATGAGATCTATTGCAACCATTTAAAAAAACTGTGGTAAAATATACAGAATACAGTTTTTACCAAGGCAGCCATTGGCAGATGAACACACAGTCCCTCGGTTTTGGATCATCTCTTCATGACAGGACTGAGGACCTAAGAGTGTTTAAATGTTTGCTTTTCTCACATACTTTCTCTGCTCATGGCACCTTTGCAGCAACCTTCAGGCCTTAAGGCAAGCAGCATCCTCAATCAGAGACTCCTGTTTTTATACATATTACAGATAGCTTTGCCGAACTCTTTTCTACTGTGCAAACGAACTGGGCACCCCTCAGTAAATTCTAAGCCATCCACACCTTACTCATTCTCATTTTTTCCTCCTGTTTCCCTCCATGCCTACTTCATGCCTACTGAATGACCTCCATTAGTCCATGAGCCCCTGGAAAATAATGACTACCTTTCAGTACTTTGGCCACAGCCTAGACAAGTAAGAAACATGCAATTAGAGCTCGCTCAGGGAGCAAATAAAGAGTCAAACCTATGAAGATGTCAGCCAGTCAGTAACACGTAAGATCCTGTCTTAAAATTTTTATTCTTTCTCTCCTTTCCTTGATAAATTAACTTAAAAATTACTTGGAAACTTGGCTCCTTGGTGACCCCAAGAAGTTGTATATTCATCTTTGCTTCTCTACACAGCACATTTAGAAACAGTGTTTGGGGCACTGGGGAAATATAATTATGCTATTAAAGAATTACAAATAACCCATAATTTTCTCTTTACATGTGGGGTAGCAAGGGTGTCTTAGGATATATTTAATATTATTATCATCTGTAGAGCTCTCTACTGTGTTCATAAACTGAGCATTCAAACAAATGGGTGGGTAGCTTTTACCTACTCTAGGTTTATTTTGCACCCATATTCTGATACCTATTGTTGCTACCCTAGGAGCATTCAATGTAGACAGCCTAGACATCTTATTTCACTTAATCTTGCACATGCCAAATGCTTCAGAAGTACATGTGTGATATATATGCATGCCATGAACTGTGACAGCACAGCAGTGAATACCTGCTGTGATGGGGATTAGGAACTAGCAAATGAGACTATATGGAAGAAACACACATGCGTAGACACAGAGGATGTGCACAGGTAACTGAATATACTTGGAATCAAATGTGGGACCAAATCACTGCAACACCATGATTTCACAACAGACTGGCTTTCAGGGACCAACATCTCTGCATGAGTAGCTTTTAAATATATCTTTTAAAATGGCGAATGTAGTTAGCAGCCTCATTCTAAGAACATGAAACTAATCACTACAGCGCAGAGCACAAAATTTGTCCAGCACCTCCCTTTGAACAAACTGACTCCTCTCTGCCAGTCTCAGAAAGAACAATTCTTTTCTCTAGATGTCTGTTGAAGGCTGGCCATTTTGTCCCTTCGTGCAGCTTAGTTCAGGAGAACCTGTCTTCTACCATCATTAATACTTCACTTTTCAATAGTACATACTTCCATTTTCAAATGAGTGATGTCTGCTGTCTCTTAAACACTTCTGAAGTCTTGTTCCATTTTATCCTTCTTTGACTTGCCTACTATCACTATCACACTTTCAGAGATAGAATTGAAATCTAAAAGTTAAATGCTGGAAGGAAAAAAAAAATCGCTGTCCCTGAGCTAAATAGGAGCTGTAGGTCTCATGCCCAAAGATTTAACTAACCACAGACAGAACTAATATTATAGGGCTGGTGAGATGACATAGTAGCAAAGGCTCTTCCTGTCAAATCTGATGACTTGAGATCAATCCCCACAACCTACATAGTGGAAACAGAGAGATGATTCCAGCAAGTTGTCCTCTGATCATGCACACCATGGACATACATTTCCACATATATATACATATATTATACAAACAAACAGAAAAAATACAAAAGAAAATATTCTAAATGAATATTGAATCTTCCCTGAACATCTAGGTCTTTCTGCTTATTATTATTCCTCAGGCAATAAAATATAACAACTATTTACAGAGCACTGGTATTTGTAGGGAGTGTATGATGCTTGGGAGAAAATGTGTGTCAGTTATAAGCAAACACTATGCCATTTTCTAAAAGGAACTTCAAGTTTCTGTATTCTCAGGAATACTGAAGGGGAGTACTGAAGTGGGAGAACTTAATGTATAACAACTGGCTGGACCAAGGCCAGTGAGGGCACACGGGGTTACTAAGGAAGCCTCTTGGGGTTAAAGAGGGAAAGGACAAGAAAGCAGGCCGAAAGTTCTTCTGACTTAGCTGTGGGATGAAGCTTGCCTGTGCTATTGGTCAGACCAAAGGCAAAAGTGGATGTTCATGACAGATTCTGTCCACCAAAAGCTTGAAGTACCACTTTTTGTCTTCAACATCAAAAGACAGAACTACTAACTTGGTTACATTTTTAATTGTTCTGCGTGAAATATCGCCTTCATGCATGCAATCAATAGTCACTTCAAATGCCCACAGGCTATAAAAGAATAGTAATTAGTCAAATAATGTGCATTGTTAATATACACAATAATAATCTTGCTTGGAGTGGGGCTTAGGAGTAAATCCAGGTCTCAAAAGTGCAAGGCAAGAATTCTACCACTGAGCTACAAGCCCATCTTTAATGGAGTACTATCAACAATCACTCTCACACAGGACTAAACTGAATCTCTGTTATATACTTCTCAGCCAGTAGCCATTATTCCCATTATACAGATGCTGGAAATAAATTCCTAACAGAACGGACATGTATATGCCAAGCAGTAAAATCAATGCTTAAGAAAAATTTTAAATTTTTTAAAATTTAAAAATTAAAGGTCTGAAGCCATAGTGAGTAGAATGTTTGCCTAGCATGCACAAAGCCCCTAGTTACATTCCAAGCATCATGTCTAACAGGTGTGGTGGTGCATGCCTGTAATCCCAGGTCTCAGGAGGTAGGACTACTAAAGGCTCATAAGTTCAACCTGAGATACATGAGCCTCTGTCTCAAAATCATAGTGACAAGATATCCCCAAACAGCATGAAGTTTATGTATATACTTGCAGCAAACATACAAACCTCTGTCACATACATATATGTTTATATAAATACCATAAATCTATACAACATGTTCGTATATGCATACATATATACAACAATATATATTTATATATACACACACATTATAAACCTGAAACACACTGCCTCATATGTATTCACACATATCTCTAATATATATGAATGCATGTACATATATACACATTATATAATTACTCATACATTTATGCATACATACATATACACATCATAAAATTACAGGCATAGACTAGCATTCACACACATACACAGATATATAACTCTATCACATACAGATACATACACATATATTTATCATATCTATATGCATACATATAAACCTCTACCACACACACACATACATACGTGTACATAAGCATACACACCCATCTCTTTCAGATACATACACATACACCATAAACATCACCCCTTAGAACAGTAGGAAATATTTTCTTGATCATAAACAATTTGGGGAAAGGTTTATACACAATCATCTTGTTTGCTGTCATTCACAAACATTAGCAGAAATTAAGCAAGTTCCTGCAATATTATCTAAAATGAGGCAAACATGCCGGCGCTCAATGGCTATGTACCTGGTTTTTCAAAGGCCCGAGGAAGCCCAGATTTTCTGCCATCCGCTGGGCCTGGCTATCCTTTATTCCTTCAAAAATGTCAATCTGCTCCTAGTAAGAATGTATCAAATGAACAAAATTCAGAAGTCAAGTATGAAGATTTAAACCTTAAAGCAAACGTTTAGTATTTACTGGCAAATGAGTAATTAAAGTGTGGCACCCTTCCATAGAGCTCTGAGCGGGGCTACTGCGGCTGCCTATAGGCTACGTTTTAATTAGCAGGCCATCTATGAAACAGCCCTTCCAAAAACTATATAATTCTTCAAGGTGGCATGCTGACAAGATGATCTGATGCCAGTTTTCACTTTTAATTACTACACAGATGGCACTGATGAATATTTAGTCAGTTAATTTTTGTGACATCTTTTGGAAGGCATCCAAAGAAAGGCTTTGCTGCCTAATATTGCTGTTAAGTTTGGAGTTGTCATACACAGGTTAAATATTATCTTATGACTTGAGCACTTTATTCACATGAAAATTATTAATAATACCTTCACTCTACAAAGAGCTGTTCTGTCAAAAACAAATGCTGCCCATGTGCATTAGTTCATGCATTATGTTAGCAAATGGGATTGTTTTAGATAATGTTAACTTTGAAAATGGCTAGACATTATGAGTAAGCCTGTGTATAAAGCGTCAATGAAACTTCCAAAGCAGTTAATTTCTCTATGTAATACTGATGAGAATGTTTTAAAACAATCACTGAAGTGTGGGTACAGTAAATAGACAAGCAGGTTCAGAAAATAGGACTCTTCCTCTACTTAGGGGGAAACAAAATAATTTCCAAAGGAAATAATATTCTTGTAGAAAAATTTAATGGAATTAGACATTAAGAAACAAAATTAAAAACTGGGTCCACAGTTCCAAAATCTCAGTAGATGAGAATGGCACCTAAGCATTTCTACATATTAATCTATTAATTCCCATGATGCGAGAGTAGGAACCATTACATTATCATTGCTTCCTTTAAAAATGGATTTACTGGGCTGGAGAGATTGCTCAGCTGATAAAGGCTAGGCTCACAACCAAAAAAGAAACAGACTTACTACATCCTCAGATCTGACAACAGATCTCTCTGAAACCAATCACAGTGTCAAGATTTCCAGGACTGGAATAATGGGGCAGGATATGGACCTCTGACTGCTTGTTTTTCCCTGGACAGTCTGTAAAGTTTAACATCTACTGTCTACTTGATGGAGTCTAGCTTATGAGGTCATGCCTAGGCTAAGTAAAGACTCCCCCTGAATGTGGAATGTCATGGGTCAGGGTCTCACAAAGGTGAAGGAAAGGAGACAGGGAACTACACACCAGCGTTCATCTCCTTCTGCTTCCTGACTGTGGATGCCCTGTGACCACTGTCCCACACTCCTACTACCATGCCTCCCCCACCCTGGTGGACTATGGGCCACAATAACGCATCCCTTAGGTTACTTTGTCAAGATTTTGTCACAGCAAGAAAAGTAACTAATAGAGAGGCTCACCCACACTCGATTACATAAGCAGAGGTGTCTAGACCACACCCATGGTTAAAAGCAGGAAGCCAACCTAGCAGAAATGGGGCACAGCAGTGTTCTCCTCTTGGTAATTCTTGGGTCAGGCTAGACAGAAAGAAATTATATGGAAGGAAAAAGCAGGGAGGGAAGAGAAGGAAGAGAGGGGAAAGGGAAGAAGAAAATGCCTTTCAATACTGGACTTGCAACCAGTTTCTTGTTAGATTTATCATCTTCATAACTCAGACACAGACCCATTGCTCCCTACTGCAGACTCCACATTAGAAGCCATGCAGCCACACTAACAATTAGTTAGCACTGCCTGCTAATAAGACATACCTTAAAGATGAGTTCTGGATTGGAAGCTGCTACTTCTTCAATATCAACACCCCCCTGGGGGCTGCCCACTATCACCGGACCATTGTGGGACCGGTCCATCAGAATGGCCAAGTAGGTTTCTCTAGCAATGTCCAAGGCTTCAGCAACCATAACCTGGCATATGAATGAAAAGTCCAGTTAAAGTGGATTCAGACAGACTTGAGCTTAGAAATCCATGCCTCTAGCCACAAAAAGCACACAGTGCCATTTCCAGGCTCCTGACATTTAGAGTCAGTATCCAGAGGTCTGAGGCTTGTATGTGGGTACACAAAGCCTCCTGCCACCTCCTTAATTGATCTTGTCAAAGTGCTCAAATGACAGGGATCTGGTTTGCCTCTGGAAGGCTTCCCAGTCTCATCATGCTTTTCTTTCTGGTGAATCTTTGTCATTTGAGGAAAATGCTTGGGACACGGCTGTTCTAATCTGACATACTAACAGTACATACATACATACATACATACATACATATATAAAATTACATTGGCTCCTCTCTGATGCCAATGGTAGAAAGCCAGGATTAACTACTAAAGAAGAGAATGCTTACAGTATACAGATAGCGTATATATTTATAAAGTTCTATCTTAGATAGCTGTATTTTATTTCATTTTGTACTATTATATAAATGTAATATTTACTCACTTAAAATAATGCAGTCACTGGGACTGATGGCACAGGCCTGTGATCTTAACTCTGAGGAGACTGAACCAGGAAGATACAAAGATACAGTCTGGTTGGACTACTATTGAATTTGATGCTAGACAAGGCAGCTAACTGTGACCATTGCTTAAAAAAAAAAAAAAAAAAATTGTGTGTGTGTGTGGGGGGAGGGGGTAGAGTACTTGCCTAGCATGAAGAGGTCAATCCTCAGTGCCAAAAGAGGAAAAGAAAAAAAAAAAAGCAGGACCTGAGGTACCAGGCAATTATACAGGACCTGCTATATGCTTAGCAGGTATAAGGCCCTGGGCTCAAACTTCAGCAATAATAATAATAATGATGATGATGATGATGATAATGATAAACACACACACACACACACACACACACACACACACACACACACACACACACACACAAAGCATATGAGAAACTGAATGCATCCTCCTGCAGCACCACCTCCTCATATCCAACTGTCACAATGGTACTGTATGGCCCCTTGAACCTCTATAGTACTTAGGACAAGATGCCCCTTCCCCTGGGATAGGGAATCACTTGTCAGAACCAATCAGGGGCAAGTGGAGTGGAGAGCATTCATACCCTGGTCATGTCATCACTGAGCATCTTTTTGTTCTAAACAGTTTCAACAAATGTGAGAAAACCTCTTATGAGCTTAACCCCTTTCCTTGTTATCTGCAAGTGCTTAGGAATCACTTCTGTGGGATCACGTCACACACAACCATGCCTTGCTTTGGTTTTTGAAATTATTTTTATTTTTTGAGATCTGACCTAGAACTCGCTACATAAGCAAGGATAACCTAGAATTTATGATCCTCCTGCCTCTCTGTCCCAATACTGGACTATGGTCATTTGGCACCATGCACAGCTTCATCAGTGCTGCGGACCAGACCTGAGGCTTCATGCACGAGGCAAACACTCTACCCACTAAGCTGCAGATCCTGCCCTATTTTAAAACTGTTAACCCTGCAACTTGGATTCCTTCCTAAGATTTTTCTCTTTCTAACCTTAACTATACAACACTTAATATGTTAATATTTATTTAACAATATGCACATGGCTATTGATACGGACATCAGTTTTCATAGCTGGACTGTTGCCCTTTTCATTACTTTTGTATATGTATCTCTGATCATCTGTTTTATTCTCTGTAAAAGTCTTGCATGGAATATTTAAGATTTTGATTAGTAATGTCAAATTGCACTTGAGAGAAATTATCTCAGCTTACAGAAATACAACAGGAATGGTGGAAATGTCTTGGCTGAAGTTTTCAAGAACACAAACATCCACATAAATAACCAATAATAGACTTGAAAGTAATTTAAAAAACAAAATAACACTACCTTCTCTAACAGTAGTTTAGTATTAGGTTGCATTTTAAAAGTTATATACTAAAAGGCATTTTATTTTAGCTACCCAGAAGCCCCTACAACAGTTCTATTAATATAATAAAAATTTTGAAAGCTCTAATGGAAAGATATGAAATTCCTTTTCAAGCTTTTATTGAATTTACCACCAATTAAAGGTAAAATATTAGGGCAAGAAATGTGGCTCAGTGATAATAACACATGTTTAACATACGAGGCTTTTCACACAGCTCCTGAGACCCAGCAGCTATCCGTAATTCCCACCAAAGAACCATCTCTTGGATGCAGCTAGTGTTGGGACAGACTAATTTCTTTAAATTACAAAAAGTCCAACCACTTGTCAACAGCTCTCCTCCTGGCCATCAGGAAGGCAAAAGCCATCAGCTCCCCAAGTTCACTTGGTGAGAAACAGCTGGTCACTGCAAACATTAACTCTAGTCTCCACTGCACTTAACTCTAGTCTCCTTCTCAAAACAACAACAATGTGCAGCATTCAGAAATAATATGAAATTCACCTTTGTAAGCATCAACACACTTTAAGAAATTAAAGCAATTTCTTCTAAAGGTTGTTCTAGGACGATAGAGAGATATTTTAAGAAATTTGGTAGGGACAATCTATAGTTGAAGGTAGTATTTTTGAAATTTTAGGCGCAATAATATAACTGTGCGTGTGTGCGTGTGTGCTTACAGAAGACAAAGAGGACGCCATGTACTCTGTTATACCACTCTGAGACTTACTTCCTGAAGACAAGGTGTCTAGCTGAGTGTGGAGCTAGGTTGGGAGCCAGGAAGCTCTAGCAATCCTCTGTCCTCGACTCCTATACTGTAGAGATTACAAGCAAGCATGGCTTTCCTTACATGGGTACAGAGATTTGAATTAGGTCCTCATGTTTGCAGAGCAAGTGATCTCTCCATCCCTCACTACTGATACACAGTCTAAAGCACAGTTAGTCTAGTGAAACAATCAAGGATTATCAGTATTCTTAGAAGCAATATAAAATTCTAATCCTCAGGATGAGTGTCATTCAAGAGTCTTATTCTTTATCTTTTGAAACACTAGCTGATGGGCTCTTCATTACATCACACTTCAGTTTGCGAAAACCAGCTGCTTTCTCCAACAGTTCCTGCTTGGGAGAAATGTCTCATTTCTTAAGGGAGAAAAAAAGAAAAAGAAAAAAAAAAAAACAAAACCTGGAAAATGATGCTTAGTAATTCAAGAAAGTCCACACAAAGACCCAGTGTTTTCTTCTGGCTGAAGTATTTAGGGAGTGTTACAGAGAAATTTGATGGACTCAGGAAGCTCAGGAAGATAAATTTCAAGAGCTTCATTTGAGTCCTGTAAGATTATCTTCTGGGATCCCCTGGATTTCAAAATGTCTTTATCCTACTTGACCAGAGTACCTCTCCTCCTCTCCACCCTCACATCCTGCTACTCAAACTTTAATTCTGAGATGGATACCAATGGGTAAACTATTCATAACATAAACTGCGAGAGTTAAGATTACTAGGAAATTATCTAATTCTTTCCTACAGTAACTGTTATTGATGATACTGACCATGGACCCAATGAGAAGCACTGTCTTACACCCTTTCCTGTCCCAAGCAACATGTAACACAATTGCACAGAGTCCACCAAAAATGTGTGGTATACACCAACAGATACGTATGTGTGTATGTATTAACCAGCACCTCGAATAAACTTAAATCGGAAGTATCTATAAGTCTCTAGCTTCAGCTTAAGGATGGAGTTGCTTATTCCTCCAGTGCATTCAGATAAAACTATACAAATGAGAAACCAGGAAGAAGCAGAAGATTGCAAAGAAGAAAGCAGCACAGTTAGGAAGCCTGAGGTCTAAGAAAGTACAAGGGACTGAGTTCCACCTGGTAAGTCATATGCTGGAGGACTGGTTACCCAGGAAGGCCCACTACAAGCACAGGCACTGGAGGCCTGAGTCATAGGGTTTCTCTGCAGATACCTACCAAACATCAGCAGGAAGTATAGCATTAGCAGTGAACGTGTTGGACATGCCAACTTAAATGAACATGTGAAATTAAAAGTTCAATCTCAGTAATAATTGCTACAGAAAAATAGTGGAGACATTAGGTACAAATCTTAAAAAGAGAAAGGAAGGAAGGAAGGAAGGAAGGAAGGAAAGAAAGAAAGAAGGAAAGAAGGAAGGAAAGAAGGAAGGAAGGAAAGAAAAACCACCACATACTGAGCCTATATTCTAATCTTTATGTAACTACGAGAGCAGAATCAAGGCAGAGCACAGAAGAGAAAGTTGTCTTATGGACACTGAGGTTTAACAAAGCAAACACCCATTCTCCCCAAACTAATAGAATGGTTTAACACAATTTCTATTGAAAGTTCAGCAGGAGATTTTCTTTCTATCATGTAAGATAAAATTATTCTAGGAAGTATATGCAAAGGAACAAGAATAGGATAAACTACACTGAAAAATAAGAATAAAGTGAGAAGATCCAGTATTCACAATGTAAGAACTTACTACATTGCCACAGTAGCTCAGTAGGGGAGGCAGGAGACCTATAGGAACACAGGAAGTTAATTTTTGATGATGGTACAAAAGCAATACAGTAAAGGGGTACAGGTACAAGTGAACATTCATAGGCTAAAACAAAAGCAAGACAAAACCCATTGGCCTAAGTCTATCACTTATCACTTAATGAAAAGGAACTGACCATAAAACCAACTCACAAAACATAAAAATAAAAGCCCTTATGAAGTTACCAAAGAACCTTCTTCTTAAATTGTATATCAAGAGCCCAGTCCATATAAGAGCAGTGATAGTTTGGAATTCATCAAAACTAAATATTTTTGTTCTACAAAAGGCTCTGCTATGATGAGTATGTGACACATAGCAGCTGAACCTGTTAGCACAGTACATATAAAGCACACCTCCAGCCTTGTCATGGAAGGCATTTAGGCGTCTGCTGGAGCCTGCCCTGGCTCACTGTCCCTCAGAATACTACAATAGTGAACACAGCCTTCAAGAAGAGCCTACAAAGGACAAACGAGCAAATGAGAAGGTATCTAACATCTGCAGGAACAAGGCAAATGCAATTTTAAATCAGGATGAAACAGCACTACATTTCCAAAAATGGCTAAAGCAATGGCATCATCAAGTGTTGGCCAGAAAGTAGAGAGACCTGGTCATCTGTATGCTGCAGATGGCAATGTGGTGCCATCAATTTGCCAAATATTTGGCAGTTTCTAAAATAAAAAAAGACAAAAATCCACTGACCATACAACTATCACATAATTCAAAATCTATCCCCCAAATAAAGATTCTTTCCACAACAAATCTGTTCACAGATGTACAGAACACCTCTATCTGTAACAGCCCAACCTGAAACCATCAAGGTACCTATCAACAGATGATGACTTAAGAAATTGTGGAATATGCACATTACACAATACTATATAGCAAAAAATCATCAATCTCCAGAAAATCATGAAATCATGACAAATGGGAGATAAAAGCTCATTTCAAAGTTTTCATTTCTATAACATTCTAGAAAAGTTTGTGTCCCCTCCAAATTCCTGCTACAACCTCATTTCCAATGAGAGACTATTTAGAGACAGGTCTTTGAGAGGTGAACAGAACATGAGGGAGAAGCCTCATGTTAAATGGGAACTCAGAGCTCCCTCAACCTTCCAGTGTTGTAGGAACACAACAGAAATGTGACCCTCTTCTTTCCAGGCACAAAAGCTAATGAGACTTCTCCAGATGGGGAGAAATGAATTTCACTTATATACAGCCCACCCAGGGTGTGGGAAGCTTTCACATCAGCCTGTGTGGACAGAGACACAAGAATGCACTGCTTCTTTTTAGCTAAGACTTTAGGTGTGTATTAACTTATTTAAATCAAAGCACTCCCACACACCATGCTATTAACAGCAAGAGACAGTTAGGCAGTGATGATACATGCCTATAATCACAGCACTTGGGAGGCAGAGGCAGGTGGATCTCTGAGTTCGAGGCCAGCCTGGTCTACAGAGCAAGTTCCAGGATGGTCAAAGCTACACGGAGAAACCATGTCTTGAAAAAACAAAAAAGAAAAAGGAAAATTAAAAAAAGTGAGTCAGGGGCTAGGAAATGCTGCACATAACAGAGAAAATGTGAGGAAACTTCATGGCTAGAACTCAGCACCAAATGTGATGCCTGGATATCTCGGTACCACAATCAAATCTCAAACTTAGGATGATCATAACTCAGGTTTATCCTGGCTCTTCCCAAGGCCTGACAGATACTGCATGATGACTTTAATCGCTGAACTCAATATCCTGGAAAGAGGGGACCTGGGACCCTGCTGTTATTTTATCTGGAGCCATCTATGGATTCTCTCCAGACACCTGTCTGGAAAATGAAAGGCACAGTCAGTTGTGAAGCACACAGACTTCCCTTGCTTCTCCGCTGCCTCACCATCTATAAGACATGCCTTTCATTTTCCACTCAGTGCCCCTCCCCACCAAGTACAGCACAATGATACAGGCTACAGATCCCTAAAGCCATGGCAACAGAGCAGGTCCAAAAAGTGGGGACCAATTTACTGCAAGGATGGATGGGTCTTGCCAATCATAGCTGTCTTCTGGGTGGCCACATGTGACACCCAAGGGGCTCTGCTCATGAATTCACATTCTCCAACACAGGTTTTGCATTGTGAACACAGGTTCTTTATTTTGCATTGGGGTATGCACAGCAGACAGCTCCTGCTGCTTTACGTATGAAGAGAGGGAAAAAGTATGAAAACAGAGCAGTAGGGAGAGGCAAGTTCTAGACTTGGCTCTTACATTCATAATTGCACAGCAAAGGCAAGCCATTTTTATCTGAGCTTTACTTTCTCTGTGTGTATATCTATGTGTCGTGTGTATGTATGCTATATGTACTTACTGCTAGCAATCTTCATTCACTAATAATATACTCTTAGTAGCAAGTGGCTTAAAATGGTAGTAACATCAAAGTATAGCGTAAGATATTTTGAAGAATAACCACCACAACAGGCAATTCTAACAGAAAAGACTGAGGGTGGGGCTCATGGGGACAGGAAAGGATCACTGAGTACAAGGCTGCCTGCCAAGATTTGTCAGCTTCAAGCAGAATGTATCTGTGCTTTGAATGGAAAACCGCTGCTTTGGCCATTCACCTACTGGCATTTGGTGAATGCCAATGTCCACAGTTCTTCAGGTCTTTCTTCAAAGACACAGCATTCCCTAAACAAAAAGAGACCACTGCCAAAGCACAGTGCTTCATTAGATCTGTCAGAGCTGGGTCTAGCTCTCTGTTTTAATTACATACAAAATGACCAAGAAAATTCTTATTACCTTGTTAACTTTCACACCTTCTTTTGGAGTTTGTTTCGTTGCTAGATTATAACCAATCATCTGCTGAGCCAGCTGTCCTACCACTTTAGGGCTAGGAAAGAAAAAAAAAAAAAAAAAAAAAAAAAAAAAAAAGGATAAGGAAAAGTCAAAAAAGACAAAGACAATCAGGGTATATTGCAAATAACTATAGAGCAGGGTTCATGGTATCCACCATTCCACCTCCTCACAGCTACACAATCCAGGGCTACTCCCACCATTCTACCTCCACATACATCCATATTGCCCAGGACTACCTCCACCACCCAAACTCCTCAAAGCCACATTCCCCAGCACTATCTCTACCACCCAACCTCCTCACAGCCACTATACCAGGACTACTTCTATCACCCAATTTCATCACAGCCATACTGCCCAGGATCTACCTCTAGCCATCATCTTCACATTCACATTACCTACAGAATACATGTCTTTCCATTTCCATTCATGTGTCTAGTACTGTCACAGGGTGCATGACAGCCAATACAAATGAAGGGATGAGTGAATGAGTGAAGGGATGCTCAACTCTGCTACCTCCCCACTAAACAAATTAGTGACGAAACAAAACTAGATGTATAGCAGATTTAGACAGAAGGTGAATGAAAGACTGACAGTGTATGATCCTGGAAATAGTAAACAATGAAAAGACTGTGATGGGAAGAGTCACAGCTTGGTGCTGGGACAAGATGCTACAAAGATACTCAGATAAAGGCAGGCGTGGACTACCAGAGGCCACAAAGAAACCACTGGTGGCAGGGAACCACTGAACATTTTCATGGGGAGTGACATGATGGAAATAGTATCTCAGTTGCAAGTGATTTTATTTCAAACTCTTAGGATTGTCTGAGAGAGAGCAAGAATAGTCTTCCTCAGTGAGTGATACAAAGCCCTCTAATGGGACAAGGAAGCCTTGGGCCACTACCAGATCCCTGCCAATGCCTTCACTTGCCTCTCCCCGAACTGTACCCGCCCCAGCCCCAGCCCTCCTGCTCAAGACCCCTTTCAGTTAGGATGGGGACCCCCCCCCTCCGGACTTACTCTTTTGTTAAATGAACTCCTCCTTTCAAGCCACTATTGAAGACACCTTTTCCTCTTCCTCCAGCTAAGATCTGGGCTTTTAAAACAATTTCTTTTGCATCTGAAAAAGAAAAATCCAAATAGTAGCTATTTTAAATTTTTTCCTTTCTTCATCCCATATTTAAAGGGGCAAGAAAACAAAAATCAAACAAACAAACAAAAAAAAAAAAACAGGGAAAACAAAACAATATGAAAAAGGACTTCCACAAGGACCTAGTAAAAACACTGCTAAATCAACATGGGAAATAAAGATAATAAGGAACTTCAAAAACTACAAATTAAAAAGGGAGAAGCAGAAGCTTATTTATTGAGGACAGTGAAATAACCCTAGCAGTATGAGCACCTGATAGGCACACATGCAGAGGAAGCCAGGCTCTGTTCCCTTGCTCTTCTGAGTGTGCTAGAAGACACTAAATAAAGCCAGCGAGGCAGTTGAATTTTACTGTGTATTGATACTCCCAAGTGGCAAAGGATCTGACTGCCTGTCAGCCTCTGAGCTGTCAGAGGAAGACTGGACTGGTACAGAAAGGGCTAACAGACAAGACACAAAGCTGCCTTTAATAACTGCATTCTTGGAAACCAATAGTTCTCTGAGCAGTTGTTCTATATATTGACAGGGATAGCCAAGAAAGCAGGAAATGAATTAAAACTAGAAGCAAGCAATATTTTTTTGTAAAAAACAAAACAAAAAAAAAATGGCAAAATGAAAAAAATCTCCTGGTTGGGGGGGGGGAGGGAGTTGGGAATATTTGTTTCTCAGCTCACGCAAAGAAAAAATAAACTCTCTGTTTCTGACCTTTTAGACCAGAGTTATAAACTCAAACATGTCTGTAGGCCTGGCAGGGAAGTGGGGTGAGAGGTCACAAAGAGGTAAACGGGGCCTTTAGCAAGCAAAAGAGTTCCCTTCCCCTATGGGAGGCCACACTCCAAATCAAAAGAGTTTAAAAACCAACCAGCACACATCTCAGGGCATAGCTGCATGGTGTCTGTGCAATGTCTTTAGTTAAGTTGGAGAACTAAAGCCATTTCCATTAGGCTGCCATGGCTTTCTGGTTGAGTACCTAAGGATCTTGATTCTAGGCCTGCCAGTTTCTTCACTCAGCTAGGCAGTCCTCTGAGACTCAGTTTATTATGAGAAACAATGATGATTGTTTCCAGGATTAGCAGAGACAGAGCTGAGAAGTGTCTCAGTAAGTAAAGCCTTTACTCTGTAAGCATGAGGACCACTATTCTGATCCTCAGCACGCATATAAGCTAGGTGCAACAGCACAAGCCTGTAACCCCAGTGCTGGAGAAGAAAAGACAGGAAAAGTCCCTGGGGTGCAGAGACTAGGCAGCCTTGCTGCATCAGTAAGCTCCAGGGTCACTGAGAGACAGTTCTCCAAAAATAAGATGGAGAGTGAGGAATACACCGAGCATCAATCTCTGCTCCACTCACATGCATATACACTCCAGATAATCAAAACCTAAATGGATAAAATTTTAAAAATAACTGCCATGATTCATACTGAGTTCTATCTTTAAGTCGTTGGCTGCTTCAGCTAGGAGAGTCCTTGTCCTTGCCATTGTTGTTCAGTCAATCGGGCAAAGGTTGAAAGCAGAAGATCCACTTGGGGGAACTCTAGAAAGCCTGCACACTCTGAAGGCACAGGCTCAGCCAGGGACCAGTCAGTCAGCCCATGCAGAGGCTGCAGCTGGAAGAACATCTGTTGCTTCCACTGCTGGCCTTCCATCTCTCACATGAGTTTGTCTTCCCATAGCTAAGGCCCAGCACATTTCAGAAACAAGCACAGTTCCTTCTTAGAATGCAGCCCTTCCCCACCTTTGACTCTTGATTCTGCCCTCGACATGAACCATCACATCAACAGCCAAGCCTGACTTAGAGCAAGCTGCCACCCAATAAGATGGGAGAAAACAAGCTATAGCCATTGTTCAATATCAGAACTCATCTCAGGAAAGTACCCAAGACTCACAGCCCATTCGGGTTACTTACTACACAGAACAGCATCATGCCTGTGCAATGATACTGGGATCAAAGGAACCTCAACAAAAATGCCCAAGCCTGGGTTCCTCCTTCAGTGCTATAACAGGCAAGCAAAACTCTTGTAGATGAGGCATAACAGGGTGAAAGGAGATGCTTGTCTGAAAAGGGGTCATTTTAAAGGGGAATGCAGTGCTACAACACCAAGAAGAAGAAACACAATACAGTAGCTGAAATGCTGATCTGAATGGCTGCGTTCATAAAACAAAGTGTGATGGCTATCAACATCAGGACTATTCTCAGTGACTGCCCAAAACTGGTATAGAGAAAGACATTTCCTACTTGTCTTCTGACGACACAAGTGGGAGAAGTACTTTTTGCTGTGGCACTCAGGTTTAATTACAGTCACTTCAAATTCTTTAAGAGACTGGGGCATTCCACATCATCATCTTCTCCCACGCCCTTGGTGCCCAGGAGAAATGCTCCCCCTGCTGGTTTTCCAGCAGCACAACTGGAAGGCCAGGCAGCACTCCTAGCAGGCCACTGGGAAGTGACACCCTACAGGCTGATTAGACCAATTCTAGTCACCAGTCGCTAAGATCCAAAAAAGGCTTTCACTATTTGTCCTTATGTCAAAGGATTCTGTGCCACCCTGGTGATAAGCCGAGCAACCATTTTGGTGGCTGAAGTCATATTTGTTTTGCTTTGTAGTGCTGAGAACTGAGTCCAGGGATTTAACTTTGTCCATGCTAAGGATGAGTTCTACCACTGAGTCATACAGTTCCCAAGACACTGCAAAAAGAAATAGGGGGAGGGGGTGCTATTCAAGCTGTTATGTCACACAAATTGTAATCCAATCCAAAAGGGGGGGGTTCACTAAAATAACCTAATGCTAAGTATAAGTGAGCAGCCTCCAGTACAGAAGTTTCCCTTCTTGATGGAGACTCAAGAAGTGATTTCATTCAACTAGTACTTACTTAAATGTTTGAAATGGGGGGGGGGGGGGAGTTCTACTCAAAGATTACTGGTTTCTTCCTTCAGTATTTACCAAGTTTATTCCATTTATGTCATTGTTTTAGTTTCATTTAAAGATCTGATTTCCCAAAAGTAAAAGCTCAAACATATCTGGATTTCTGAATACTACCTCCTACCTCAAACACAAATTGAAGAATAGCCCATATATACAGCTTAAGTTATCTAAATAATTTTATTTAACCATAGTATACCAAGCTAGAAGTGGAAAAGTACGGTGGATTGTCTACAGAAACAGATTGCATATATACATGAATATTATTAGACTGCAGTTGGCCTAGGTGTGCTATTTCTTGCTCCTAGATTGTATTGTAGTTACCTTAACTAGCAATGTGTTCCCTGTATTTTATTCCTTTACCGGTGAGTTTCTCATCATAAAAAAGTAGTTTGATACAAATCACTTTAGTGAAATTTTTATATTTAGATGGAACAAAGCCTTATCAGACATAGTTGCTAAACCTAGAGATACATATAAAATTCTCAAATACCCTATAACCTTAGGAACCATTATGTAGAATTGCTTAAGAAGCCCCATCCTATAGTTGTACTTTATTCTGCTGACTGCAAATGTTATCCTTCTGACTGCAAGTGTCATTCTGATTATAATACAATTATATACCAAGTTTATGATCCCCCAAGTTTCATGCTGAACAATGAATGCTCTTTGAAGCACTTTTAAGTATAAATAGAGTTAAAAGCATTAAGAAAAACACTCAAAATAAAGACATGTTTTTATTAGGCAAGTTTTATAAAAGTGGTTGACTTTGTTCTTCAGAGGTGGCATTTTGAAAACATATTTATAGAAAATAATGTTCATGAGACATAGCTCACAACTACAGTAAAAATGTCAAGAATGTCTGAGGCCTGAACATACTGACACATACCTTTAATCCCAGCACTTGGGAAGCAGAGGAAGGCAGATCTCTGTGTTTGAGGCCAGCCTGGTCTACATAATGAGTTTCGGGATAGCCAGAGCTACATAGTAAGTAAGACTCCATCTAGAAAAAACAAAACACAAACAAAAAAAGAATGTCTGTGAATGTTACTTTCAGCCATCTTTTGACACAGTTGTCTAACATTGAGAATTTGCACTACCAAGCTGGGTTTTACTCCATGATTCCTTCTTTCCAAAAGCAACCCTGTCTCAAATGCAGAACACACAGAGCGACTCCAATAACCCTCTAAATCAGTCACTAGCACTGGACTTGTTGAGGGAACTCTAATTTCCATGGTTTACCAACTAGAACAAAATGAAAACACCCAGCTTTCAGCACAAGAGTGCTGTTTAGGTTGTGTGTGGTAATCACCTTTCAGCAGGCTTGACAAAACCTAACTGGTGCTCTTAAGATCTATCCCAGCACTGCAGATCTTCCTACTACCAGAAGGCGAGGAAAAGGGACAGCAGAAGGCAAGAGGAGTGGAAAGGTATTATGGGAAGATGAATTTTTTAATTAAGAACCTAAAATGAGAGGGAGTTTAGTTTGAGTTGTAGCAAGTTGTCAAAGTATCAAGTGCCAAAAGAGTTGAACTGCCTTTATTAGGTCTGAGGATTTCAAATTTTAAAAGTGAGAGCCATCAATCTGCAATCATTACCGTAATGTTTTCTGGACTTGGATATAAACTTCTATAGGTTGTAAGTAGGTCATGTGAAGAACAAGATACTGTGATGACTCTGTATGTTTAGTGGCATCCTTATTCTAACTTTAATCATGCCTGACACAGGCCACCAACAGTGAGCCAATAGATTCTAGAATCAACGACCTCAATACTGTTCACAGTACTTGACTGAATGAGACTTGATTCTTGGCCTCCCACCAAACTGCTACTCATCAGACTTAAACCATACATTCCTGAAATGGCAAGTTTAAATATAAGTAAAAGATAGAAATCGGATGGACTGTAAGATGGGTTTTGTTACACCTCAATTGTATACTGTTATTAGTGGCTACTGAAACAAAGTAATGGGTTTCACTGTGATAGTTCATGCAGATGTGTGAAGCATTTTAATTACATTTACTTTCTCTGTTCCCCTCTTTGATTCCTATTCC